TATGCTTCTTTTTGCTTCTTGGATTTGTGTCAAAATTGGGGGGAGGGTCGTACATGTATATGATACGCATGCATGCATACAGATGTGATAAAAGCAATGACATCAGCACCTGCAATCTGAAAGAGTTTGAATGCATCCAAGAATACAAGAACAACTCAGACATTTTTAAAAATTATTAAAAATTCTGGGATTCAAGATTCAAGATTCAAGAATGTGAGAAAATATTTTCTGGGAATCTTGAATCTTGAATCTTGAATCCCAGAATTTTTAAAAATTATTAAAAATTCTGGATTCAAGATTCAAGAATCTGAGAAAATATTTTCTGGGAATCTTGAATCTTGAATCTTGAATCCCATAATTTTTAAAAAGTTTTAAAAAATTCCAGGGTTGTCCCAATACTCTCGGTGTTCAATAAGATTCTCGGAAAAGTTTTCCGTGAAATAGTCCAATCCAGTGGTAACGGATGTTCGAGGTGATAGAACAACTTGAACATTTTAGGGGTTGACCAGGATGGATGATTCTCAGGAAAGTGGTGGTTTGTGGGCTCCTCAATATTGAATCCCCAATCCAGTGGTAAAGCACTTTCAAGTGTTAGAAGAACTTGAATGCTATTTGGGTTTGGCCAGGATTGACAATTCTCAGGAAAGTGTTCTGTGTAATCTTCAATATTGAATCTTCCATCCGATAGTAGCAAATTTTCAAGTGCTAGCGATCCAGTGGACACACTTTCAAGTTGTTGGTTAGACAAACTTTCAAGTGCTTTTGGTGAGCTTCATGTCAGCTATGCTCATGTTGCCCCCTTTCCAGGAGGCAAACAAAGGCAGGTGCAACGCTCAAAAATACTGCATTTTCCAGTATTTTATGAGGAGGCGCAGGATCATTGGGGGTACTATATATGTGTGGATGTATGTGTATATATAGATATACATATGTATGTACGTTCACACACCGTCCCCCACCCTCTTCAACTACCTGTCCACATTTGCTCATCTACTACCTCCACCTTTTGACATAAAATTAACTTTCCTGCGCAAATAGAACTTTAAATACAACGGTTTAGCTAGAATCCCTGTTTCGAGATGGTTTTAGATTTTGAACCTCTCTTCCCTTGAAATTTCCCTTTGGAAAACCGTCTAACAAGTTCAATGTCGGACCTTTCTTATGCTACAAAAAGGCCAGAATGTAAACAACACAAATCCTATTTTTAATTTCCAAATGTTTAGCCATATTTAATATGAATTATATTTGAGATGTAGTCTCTATTCACTTGATATTATCAAAAGCAAATGGAGTTGTGTTCGTCTTAGATTATACTTACCACTTGGATTATATTTGGGAACAAACTTCCATCTAACTTCTTGTGTTATAGATTAGTTGGAGTTTAGCCGAAAATATATATATTTACATTTTCATGTAGCTGCTATTTGGAAAGGATTTGTTTGTTTAAGCTGTAATTGAACATAAACACATTTTGGAAAACTATATCCATACTAAACTATATTCAAAATTCCGATTCTAGTTGAAGTAACATCTTATGTGCAAAGGGTATCATACTGGGACATTGTGGAGGACTCCGGGCTCCAAATTATCACGCTTTGAAAACCCACAATTGGACATTTCGAGAGTACAAATTTGGAAATTCTAGATTTGCCATCCCCAAAAGGCAGTAAAACCAGGGTCCATGGGGGGGGGGGGGGTTGCATATATATATATATATATATATATGGCGGTGCAATCAGATTAAGAGCCGAACGCAGGTCAAACACCACTTCCAGCCATGCTACAATTGATCCCTGGCAAGAACTGAACATGTTCTGAAACTGATCCGATGTGTAATGGCAGCACTCTGGTGGACATTGTTGGTGGCCATGACGAAGTAATCCAATATAGGAGAGACAACAACACAGGTGGCAGACGTTTGATGTCATTTGGGCCCAGGCTGAGTGGCAAACTAAATACACGGCACCGAACGCAATTACCTAAGCGGCCACTGTAGAAGAATCCAATACTTCAGAATTTAAGACTCTGAGCATCCCGGGCACATCCCCAGAACCAACGCTAGCTGGTTCCACAATGTCAGCGCCGCTGACCCGCAAGCCGAAATTGATCATCCCAGAACCCGCCGTAGCTTTTCAAGCCACTCACTCACCCACCCACCCACCCACCCACGCACGCACGCACTCCCTCCCTCCCTCCCTCCCTCCCTCCCTCCCTCCCTCTCCCACCCTCCCTCCCTCCCTCCCTCCCTCTCCCACCCTCCCTCCTCCCTCCCTCCCTCCCTCCCTCCCTCCCTCCCCTCCCTCCCCCTCCCTCCCTCCCTCCCTCCCTCCCTCCCTCCCTCCCTCGCTCAGCAAGTGCACACTGGCATGGCTTTACACCCTCCGTGGTGAGAAATGTTTATCTGTGCATACCTCTGCAATCTCTGCCGATCTATTCCTTTGAGCCTCGTGGTGAGTCAATCAAGCGCCCTTTTGAGCAGTCTGCTCACTGCGATTGTTATCCACAGGTCTTTTCTGGCTGAAGTTCCGCCAAATTTTGTTGTTCACAGTAAGTACGTTCGAATTTAGAGAGTCCCCTATAGTTTTCCCATGGTTTCAAGCCCCCAGAGCTATATGGATGTCCAAGTGGAGACTACTTTCCTTTTCCGTACATTCTGATCACGTTCAGCTGTCCAACGAGGCTGTAGTATGACTCTACCGAATTGTGGAATCATAGCTAAAGATCATAACTTACGAGTAAGTCTGTGAATTTGCAAGTATATCCCAGGAAGAGCTCCTGGCCACAAAATTCAGAGGGTTTTGGCCGCCAGGGGCTGTACCCTGGACCCTACATTGGGTCTCCTGATACGGCCAACACTCCAATATGGCTCTCTTTCCCTTGCAATTCCCGCAAACCACGCCAAAAAGGAATTTAAAAGAAGCCACACCCGATAGGACATCAAGTATCCTGGCTTTCCCTTAAAACCGGTACTCAAAATTGTTGATTTTCCCCGTTCCCTCAAAAGAGGGAAACCACCGCAATGCTTTGGCTTCCTTTCTGTTGACTCCCTCCTTTGCAGAATTCCCTTTCAGGAAAAGTTCGAGGGTCTTCTTGCGACCAATTCTGTTTGCTGAATTCCAGCCTGTCTTAAGCTGGTGGTCCAGGCACCTGCAAAATTGCTGTAGGACCCTAGGGACCCGACTCGTATCAGCGCCTCAAAAAAAAAAAGAAGCTCGGGCGTCTTTCACCGCGCGGTCCTCGAAGTCGCAGTTCAAAGGGACGGTCCAGGTTGGAAGCTCAGTGCACTGGTACACGTCCAAAATCTGCTCAATGTCGCCTATACCAAGATGCGAAAGGTTGAGAAACTCACCGTTACAACCGCCATCCGGTATTTGCAGTGTGGAGACCCGCACGCCTGCTTGCACAAACCGAGATCACCTCTGTTTGTTTTCGTTTCTCACTTGGTGATAGTTTTCTTTCTGAAGAGGGGTTTCCTATTGTTCGTGAAGATATTGGGCTTTCAAATGAGTTTATCCATGCATGCAGCTTGCTAAGCTTGCGCCCGCCCTACTGATCTTTGCGTCCATGCTACGCAGGCTTTAGGAGTTCAAGAAGGGGCAGGCCATCAATTGTGGCAACAATACAATGCCACCTGGTAGTGTTGATGATGTCAGTTGAACACATGCGAAAACAAGCGGTAGATTTGGGTGTTTGGAGTTGGTACCCCCTTTCGGTTGGTGTTAAAGGGTAACCAAAAAGAAAACCGATGCCGTTTTGCTGGTCCCTCAAAAAAGACACACCCATTCACCCTTGGATGAGGAATCCGGAACTGTCGGGAGTCCGCGAAAGCATTTAGAAGTTCAATACAGTACACCGCCCCTGGACAGCCTACTAGTGACCACAAAACCTGGGGACATGTTTTCTTTTTTTGCCGGTGGATCCCCCGGTTGAATATGGTTACCTTCTTGTTGGTGCTTTTGAAACCACCACAAGGGGGGCACTAGCCAAATAATATCAGCTTCCCTCTTGGTGGTTTGAAGCCCGGTTTGGAGGTGTTCGGGTGGGAATCCCCATCCCACCAAAACCAGGACTGAACAAACCAACAAACCTCGGTTGCCTTCTGCTCCCCTGCTAAAAAATGAACAACATAACGTTTCGTTTCATGGAAAACCCCATCGTTTCGTTGGCAAGAAGCCGTTCAGTCCTAACCTCCCTTGGCAAAATGCAAACCGAAGAACCCAATCCACGAACCCAACCCATAAAAAAATTCTTCTGGAAACCGTTTTTTGCCCCTTGGTGCCTTGGAGTTGAAGCCCAAAAAACAAAGAAATTTCGCTGGAAACCCCCTGAATCCAAAGGCTTCGCTGGAAATGCGGCTCGACATCAGGGTCTAGCGGAGATCCACCAGAAACTCGAGAATGCCCCCTCCACCACCCGACCGTGACAAGGAGGGGGAGACGAAAACCCGAAAATACTCTGGTCGTTTCGAGCTTCCCCCCCAAGGCCACAACCTGTCAAAACCACAAACCCATCAAACCATTCTCCCAAGTGAGCGGCAAAAGATTCACCCAGCTAGCAAGCACCCACTTACACACGTAGCTGCACCCTTCTTGTCCTTCTTTCTTCGTCCTTTCCTGATCTAACCATCCCCCAACCAAAATGGTCTACGGACTGTTTGTTGAGGAGCTGCCCTTTTGCTGCGGCACCGTCTTGGAAAGGACACCCAGAGGGAGACAGTCGTGTTGGGCTCGTTTCGGGGTCCCCAAAACCAATCAAACCATTTTCCGAGAGCCACCACAACTCGGCGAGCTGCCTGTCGTGAGATGCTTGCGGTTGCCCATCAGGTTCTCGTTCTCCGCGGGGTCCGTGTCCCATGCGTCTCCTTGACTGCACAGAAAATCAGATGTTCAGATTCTGTGTCAGAATTTAAGTCAACCCAAGATAGGCAACAAATATTGCATGACCCCAGAAAATTCAAGCCTTTCGCTTTCTGTGGTGGATTCAGTCTGGCAAGGACACTCCTGCCCCGTAGTGCATGATGCTCTGGTAGTCATATGGCGCGTAGCCCGAGAAGGGATCGTCCGCACCTCCGATTCTGAGCTGGATCGGGTTGGGTGCAAGCAAAACCCACTTCACCTCCCCCAAAGTTGAACCATTTCTCCATTTCCATAACCCTTGGGATTCGGAGCTGGATCTTACTGCAAGCAAAAGCCCAGAGAAGTGAAAGTGGGCTACCATGAATAGAACTCCAGGGTCGACTTCCCTCCCCCAATCCCTTTCGCTTCGTTTGACCACAAACCCAAGAAGGTACCCTCAAAAACGAGACACGCCCAAAGATCCCCAGAAAAGAACGGGTATTTGGAGTAAGGGGTGGTTTGTTGATCCCTTGCGGAAAGTTGCTCACCTTTGGTGGGATACTGCCAGTGGACGAAATCCTGCACCCCCTATACTAAGAAACCCTGGTTTCTGATGATTCTCCCGTAAATAGCAACGAACAATGCTTTCAACCATGGATTGATTTTGTGGTGCGAAATGGATTTCGTCCATCCACAGTTTGTGCTTTGGCATGTGACACTCATCCCATCTGCCGCAGACCTGGAATTGAGGGTCTCAAAACAAAAATCCGGGTGGCTACGTGTTGGTTGCCCTTTAAAACCATCCAAGAGGGGGTCCTCACTTGCCAGATTCCTTGTTCACAGTCTGGCCTTCCGACTTCCCTTTGAAAACGATCCGCGCCTTGGTTGGAGGAGCCGATGTAAGACGCAGAGTCCGGCAAGTATTGGCTCACCCAGTTCGAGGCGATGTTCTGCCTGTCTTTCAAGTTCAGACACCGACAGTGAGTGGATGCTAACACCCATCAAGACGCGTCCCTGAAGTGGGTGGTAGGGTAAGTCCTGCTTGGGAATGAATCCTGCATAGGGTTTCTTTACAACTACCCTTCGTCTGTATAGTAGCAAAAAACTCTGCTTTTTGCAGCCCCTACTAAACATGAACAGAACCAAAAAGCCAAACACCTAAAAGCTTGACAACAACAGTGAAGATTAATGACCCTAGTTAAGAATTACTTGTTCCCCCAAACGACATAGGATGCAGAAGAGGGTTGTCCGTTGCCCCCCTAGTGGTTGTGGGAATTTGGGTTATCCAACAGTAGACCACCGACTATGCTCACAGGACCTCGATAAAGGATTGGCAAAAAAAGAAAGACCCCGGCAGAGCAAAGGCCTTGCCCAACTTTCAAATCGCTGACTTCTGAACAGTCCTGTTTTTTTTGGTACTGCAACTCAATCTGGGATCCAAAAACAGCTTTCCTAGAAGGGGATTCTGCTGTTGCGGGTGCCAAATTCATCTGCAAGAGCAGGGGTACGTGAAAATTGCCTGACTCCCCGTTAACACTGATATAGTCACCATGCGGCGCTGGCACTACATGGGCAACTGCAAAAAAAAAATGGGTGGCGTCCCTTTAGCTTGTCCACGTCAATTCCAAAAAAGGATACCCTCCAAAACACGACCCAACACTCAGGTAGCGTGTGAGACCATCCTTCCTCCGAGGGTGTGCCGTGTGCCTGCCAACGTGAGGCTCAACCCAAGGCCAGACATGCATTCCAACAAAATGGCTTTGAGATTCATGATGTGATTTAAAATAATAAGGATGTGTTGCAATGTTTGTTTGTTGTTGCTGTTTCTTTTTATTCAAAAAAAATGATGGTTTTGTCATTCTCCAATTTAAGATGACTGATGCGACTTGAAGGCAATGTTAACCAGATGAGCAATATTTGGTTGTTGTAAGAAAGACCATAGGAATCATGAAGCTGATAAGAGAAGAGCAACACAAAAGGTGAACAATCACCTTGATGACCTTGAACCCACTCTCATCCCAAGACCCGACAGCACCCGCGTCACGCGTCTCATCTCCTTTCAATGCAAATCGAGCCGAGCCGCCAGTGCATGATCAAGTGAGGCCCGTGGCCATTGTATGCCTGCGGCTTTGGCCAAACCACTTGTTTCAGTCGAGCGAATTCTCACCTTGAGACTTAGACCAGCACCCTGCCAAAAGTTAAACACTTGAAGGAATAAATTGAAGGAAACCCAAAAAAGGAAAACTGGTCAGCCTTTCGTCTGGCAATTTCACCTGAGTAGGTTGGCCCGGGAAAATAAAGTCCGAACCATTTGCTTGCCTTTCTTGGGTCACAAAACCTACCAGAAGCAACCTCAAAGTTGTGAGATGTTGTGAGAGGAACGTGGTCTTGGGTTGCGCCGGGGTTCCATGCACAGGTCACCTGTTGCAGAACAATTGATGGGCGTCCCTGGTAGATGGCACATAAAACCAATCTAAACCACTGGAACCCATCTATATCTAACCAACCTACAAAGGACGCCTATGCACAACCCACCCCACCCCACCCCCACCCCACCCACCCCCACCCACCCCACCCCAGCCCACCCTGAAATGAGCAAAGTCGAGAAAAGTACTCCCGGCCGGGACTTCCATGGGCCCAACCTTTCAGGGAATCCTCCAACCGACTGAGGCACGCCAGCCATTGGGCTCGGGGGCGGGGGCCTGTTGGGATTCTCTGGTTTCTCCCTTGTTCAAATGGGAAAAACTAGGGAAGCCTACAGGGAAGCCCTCTTGGAGGGGCACGACTAGATCCATTTTGGAGGTACAATTTGACTAGGTTTCTCTCTG